AGGTTGTCTCTCCCTCTGTCTTTGGCAATCATCCAATCCCTTGAGGACCCAAGTAGAAAGTAAGGTTGGTATAAATGTTGGCCTCTGCGTTATTTTATAAATAATTATGGGTTTCCTATGTAGCCCCAGGAAGATCACAGCATAGTCAGTTCCTCCAAAAGTGTGTACAAAACTATCTGTTGTTTACTTCTGAGAGGCAGAATGAAGGTGGAGACTCCTATTCTAAAGAGACAGCTATGTTAGCTAATTATACTGTGATTCTGTCAAAAGTGTCTCACAAAAAACGGGCAAATATTGAATAATATTGATGTCTTTAGATGAGGCCACTTTCACAGATAAATTGTTCTATATTATTATTTTAAAACAAAGCTGAATAGAATTTTAGAAGCTATAACTACATGCATTTTTGACTCACTATAGCATGCAGAACCCGGGAAGTATCCAGGAGGCATCTTCGCGGTAAGATTTCCCGAGCTAGGTGTCACAGTCGGACTAAAGTAATAAGGTGAAAGTATATGGATGAATGAAAAGCTGGTCCTATCTAGGGGCCATTAGCCTAAAATCTTTGTGCGTTAAGGATTACAAAATCCTGGTTTCTCTTTGTTAGAAAAGAGAGTTCCAAGTACAGAAAGGAAAACTAATTAGAATGAATTTAGTGATGTTAAATTAGGACTCCTGGTGCTAGGTAGATTGATAAGGAACTAAGCAGATAACTAGATTTGACTCTGTGCGTGTATGTGTGTGATACTCTTGTATATAAATGTATTTGAACATACGTGCATACATAATTTATAATAACAGTCCCTTGCTGTGTCTAGTCAGACACAACAGGCTAGCAATGGCAAGTGATGTGCAGTAGGAAGTGTGTCCTTGCAAGTGCCAACCTCCCGAATTGTGATGAACAAATATTTGTTTTATACACAGTACCCAGTCTTTGGTATTTTGTCACAGCAGCTCAAACTAAAATAGTAGATTGTGATTTTATAAATAAGTTACTCTTTGTAAGAGGAATTATACACAAAATATTTTTGTGGCTAGAATAACTTGTTGGTAATATACTCTCAAATAGGCCAAAAGAAGAAAGTATGTTATACCATTCTTATAACTTTTTCATAAGTTCAAATTTTTTACATAAATAGATACTATAAATTTATAAATAGTATAGGTAAAATCAAAACTTGGAATATTTTTTAATTCATTATTGTCAAAATATTACACAAAAGTGATTTTTCCAGTAATTTATAATATTTTCTTTTTAATAAAATTAGGACTTTGCATCTTCCCAACATAAAAATTTGGCTAATGTGGGCAGAATTAGTATTTCCTGCAGGAGTCAAAATAGTATTTACCTTTGGTGGTGGGGAAACAGAAAATTGACAGGAATTTTCTAAAGAGATTTGCCCAGATTCAACACAATCTCTAACCAAATTCCAAGTCTTTTTCATAGAAATAGAAAACCTGATAAAATCTGTATTGATTTTCCAGAGACTCAAACAGCTTAAACAATCATGAAAAAGATTTAGAAAGAGAGTTCACATTTCACAACTTTAACCCTTAATGCAAAATGTTAAATTATGTGGGGTGGTGTAAAGGCAGATGTGTGTATACATGAAACAGCCCAGGGATAAATTCTTCCTCGTGTGTGTGTGTGTGTGTACAAACACCACACATTAATTAATTAAGTAATTAATTTTCGTAATGGTGCCAAGACATTTTCAACAAATAATGTTGGAAAAACTATATACATGCAGGATAGTTAAGTTGGACCTTTATATCATTTATAAGTAGGAACTCAAATGTATCAAAAACTTAAAAGTTAAGAGTTAAAGATAAAAAATTCTTTCAGAAAATAGTACAAAAAGCCAAGCGTGGTGGTGCACGCCTGTAATCCCAGCGCTTGGGAGGCTGAGGCAGGAGGATCGCTGTCAGTTTGAGACCAGCCTGGGCTACATAGTGAGTTCCAGGTCAGTCTCAACTACATAGTGAGACCCTGTCTCAAAAAAAAACAAACTAAAAAAAAAAAGAAAACAGTACAAAAGATTTCATTACACCAGATTTGGCAGTGATTTAATAAATATTACACAAAAATATAGGCAATGAACAAAAAAATAGATAATAGACTTCATCAAATCAAGAACTTGTGCTTCCCAGAATATGGTCAAGAAAGTGAAAAAGCACATAGAATGGGAAAAATATTTGCCTATCATGTATTTAAAAGCAATTAAGACCCCAAAAAGCAAATAATTCCTAAAATACAACACAATAAAAATACATAAGTACCTCAATTCAAAAATAGGTAAACAGACTTAAACATACAAATAAAAATAAGCCACTGAAAAAATACTCAACTTCATCACTCACCAGAAAAGGCAAGTCAAAACTATATACCTATTGGCATGGGAGTGATAATAGAAAATAACAACTGTTGGCAGGGATGTGGAGAAAGTCCAACCTTGCATCTCTTCTGGGGATATTAAATGCTTCAGCTATTTTGGAAAAACAGTTTTGCCATTTCTCAAAATGCTAAGCAGTAATTCCACTATTAATTATGTATCCAAAAGAATCGAAAGCAGGGACTCAGACATAGTTCTATACTCCAATATGCACAGGGGCATTTTTATAATAACCAAAATGTGGAAATAATCCAAACGTTTATCTTTTTTTTTTCTTTTTTCTTTTTTTTTTTTTTGAAACAGGGTCTCACTATGTAGTTGAGACTGACCTGGAACTCACTATGTAGTCCAGTCTGGTTTTGAACTCAAAGCGATCCTCCTGCCTCAGCCTCCCAAGTGCTGGGATTACAGGCGTGCGCGACCACACCCGGCCCAAATGTTTATCATAGGTGAACAGACAAACAATAGTGTATATGCACAACAATAGTATTTGGCCATAAAAAGAATAAAATGTTGGTATTTGCTACAACATGAATGCATCTTGCATACTTAGATGAGACCCAGAAAGACAAAGTTTGCATGATTGCACTTATTGGAGCTACCAAAACGGGGAGATTCATAGCAGCATGAAGCAGAAGAGAGTTTGCAGAAGATGGGAAGAGGTAGAAGAGGAAACCGTTGACAAGTGTGTAAATATGGGATTGATGAAAAGGTTCTGGATACAGGCAAGGGCAAAGATTGATGAATATTGTGGCTCTATTTAATGACACCGAATTGTGCACTTTTTGAATGGTTAATAACTATTACATATATTTGATGACTAAAAAGAAGTATGCTGAGTTCCAGTACTGTGTGTGTGTGTGCGTGTGTATGTGTGTGGCTGTTTTGTATGTTTTGCACATGAGATCTTCGTAAGTTTCCCCCACTGTATTCAAACTCACAATCCTCTCCCTTCAAGCTCCTAAGTAGCTGGCAGTATATAGGCAGGTACCATCACATCCTGCTAATGTGTTTCTTGATCAACAGGCTGAAGTTATCGACATATATATTTGCTTTTTCAAAATTCATTGTTTTATACATATTATTTGTGTTCTTTCTGATGTATGTTTTATGTTCATACAATTTGCATTAAAATGACATGAAACCCTGTTGCATCTGTTAAAAAGTTAGACTCTTTACTGAGGAGGGCCATTTGTTTCCTGTTGCGTAACATGAAATCCTTATAATCCATGTCTTAGGCCATAAGCTCAATCATTTATCAAAAAACTTCAAATGAGATGCTTGTATTATATTAATTTTCAGGAGCTGCTGTAAGAAAGTACTAGAATCTAAAGGACTTAAACAACACATATGTGCGTGTGTCTTGCACCTCTGGAGTCTAGAAGTCTGCCTTCTTCTGAGAGCTGTGAGAAATAATCCTTTCCATACCTCCCTCTCATCTTCTGACGGCTGCTGGCAAACTTGGGGTCCTTTGGTTTGCAGAAGCATCGCCCGAGCCTTTTCCTTCATCTCCACACGGTGTCCAGTGTATGTGTCTGTGGCCGTGTCTTCCTCCAACGGGGCACCAGTCCCACTGGGTCAGGGTCTCCCCTAATAACTGCACATTTACCACTGACAGCTATAGTAATTCTCTTTCAAATAATGTCACATTTGGAGGCACTGGGCTTAGGACTTCAACGCATGAATTATCTGACAACATACAAGCACAGTGACTATCTTACACCGAGTTAGATTTATTGATTTATAAGGGTCAAACAGCACCTTGCTTGTTTTTCAGTGTTTGCTATCAAACTTGATAAGCAAGTGCTCCAATAATGAGCTACGTTGCCCGCCCAAACATTTGTCAGCATACATTTCTCTGTACAACTGATTTTGCTAAATTCAGTAGAAAATTCAGGGACAGTTCTGGATTAGGGCCATGTTTTTACATAGTGACTTTCTGGATTAGTTCTAGCTTCATTCTCATTTTCAATAAAGTTTGTGTTTTCTCACTTTTAAGTCATTATTGCCAAGATAGGCCGCATTAGTTAACACTGACATTAGTTGAAACTGGAATTTCTAAAATTTTCTCTCTTGAAGTATCTATTTTATATATATATTGGAACTTTATTCATAAAACCCATGTTAAAGCTATCATTCTTGAGCTGGGTGTGGTGGCGTATGCATGTAATCCCAGCACTCAGGAGGCTGAGGCAGGAGGAT